TTTTCGATAAAGAGGATCGTAATGTAAATGATGTTTGGGATACAGTTCAGATGGTTCGTGAAGATGATGTGGTTATTTCCGAGACAGTTGCTACTCACCATGATCACACTATTACGCATATAATTCCCTTAGTAGTTGAAGACAATGAGGATGAAAATACATTTAGAAATGAGGATTTGATTGCTTTATCTCGTGGGAGACATGAGTCGGGTGGGAGCTCACGAGTCGGACCAAGTTTACAGTCTTCTAATTGTTCGTGTATGGTTCCTAATGATGAAGATTTATATGTCGACTAACTGTTCGAATCAAAGAAAGAATTGCAGGAAGCTGTGCAATTGCTTTGAAGCATAACTTCGAGTTTAAAGTGAAGAAATCAAACAAGTCGACGTACACAATTATCTGAATCGACGATAGTTCCCATTGGCGTTTGCGAGCGATGAAGATGGACATGAATAAGTTCTTTGTAGTTCATAAGTATGCACGGAAACATACTTACGAAACGAGTATTTGTCGAAATGATCACAGGTAAGCCCGATCAAGGTTCATTGGTCGAGAAATAATGCACAAGTTTCAAGACCCACGAATGATCTACAGACCTTCGAACATCATTAATAACGTTCTTCGAGAGTACGGGGTGGTCATGAGCTATCAGAAGGCTTGAAAGACCAAAGAATGCACATTGGATGATTTGATGGGTTCGACCGAGGAGAGTTATGCTAAATTAGTCAGGTCTTTCGCTGTTTAGGTGTTTATTTATTATTTATTTTAATTTTTAAATATTTTATTTCAATTGTTTAATTTTCTATTTATTTAATTATTTAATTCAATTGTTTATTTAATATCTAATTAATTATTTAATTCAATTGTTAATTTTTCAGTTGATTTAATATTTAATTGATTATTTAAATTATGATTATTGTTTATTTAAATTGGTCAGGTATTGCTATAACATAGAAATAATTAATACTAGATCAGTATTTTTTTATTAAGAATGATGACAATAATCGCTTCAGGTATTTCTTTATGGCCCTTGGATAAATGCGTTCAAGGATTTCGAATTTCGGACGCTGGGCCGCCTGGGTGTGGAATTTCAGACGGCCCAGAATCTTGGCCGTTTCCCACTCTCTTTTGCCGTCCAATTGCGGAGATTGCCATTTCCGATGATCTCTGCCCACATAAACACTAATAAACAAGAAATTCCATTAATTATATACGTTTACACCATTTTTTAACTGAATTTTCAACAAATAAACCCTCAACAGTTAAAAAAAATCCATTATTAATGGCAAGAAATCAAAGATTAATGGTAGACAAAAGTTTCAAAGCTTACCTTTTTCACAAAAAATGGAAAGCTCCGATCTAGGTTGTCGATTTAGGCGGCGATTTTACTATAGGAACTCTCTCTCTTTTTTCACTCTTTAGGTCGGTGTGAGGGCAAAAATGGATTTTCATTGTGTTTATTGATTTTAATAAAAAAAAAATTTATTTACAGTCAATGGCCATTTTGGAAAAATGCACCATATATCCGGCCATCAACCCCTATTTCCTCCCCAAAATGAGTATGGGGCTCGAGCCTTGCTAGGCTTACAAAACCAGGGTGCTGCCAGGCCACACACATACGTGGGGCCCTCATAATTTATTTTTTTAATACATGTGGCCCATAATTTTTTTTAATACATGTTTGGCCCCTGTACAGTGAGGTGCCCTGTAAATGCCCTGTGAGAAATGCCCTATAAGTTGCTCCTTTAACCTGACTGTAACCGCTTCATTAATTGTATCTTCCAAAACTTTATCTAATTCAAAAGTTCTTATGTAGAAAGGATCATCAGGAGAATTGGGAAGAGACGGATTGGGTTTTCTTTTTTTTTTTTTCTTTTTTGGGAGAGGGGGGAGGGGGACTACAGTCCATTTGTTCTACCTACAATCCATTTGTTCTTTTATAGTGTAAAAAAAATGTAAATTTGGATTCTTTTTGTGTGTCAATTTTATTTATTTTTATATATTAGTCCGACTTGTTACAGTCCTGAATCTGTCCCTGGGGAAGATGGTTTGAATGCATTTCTCATATTTCTTGCACAACTAATTCCTCTACAACTATACATGATGCAAATTCGATGACTGCTCCATTTTCTGGAATTGGGGATTTAAGATTGTTCTCAAGAAATTCCTATCGAAAACCCAACTTTTTTATTTATTTATTTTTTGTGGTGTTGCTTGAGATGATTTCCGGTGGCTTCCTCCGATTAGAGTTTCTTTTATGAGCTTTTGGGGCTTTAAAATGCATTCATGTTACAATTACGGCTTAATTCAAGATTTTTTCGTGTCATAGAATTCAACTATTTCCCTTTTCCTTTTAAATCAGTTTTACAGTGAATAAACAAAGGATGAGACAAGGAGACGGAGTTTAGCCGGTGGTCTTAGAAGCCTAATTGTAGAAGGCGCGTTCAGTTTTCTGGTCAATTTGGTGAGGTATTGTTCTGGTTTCTTCAAATTGATTTTGAAGATTGTGTAGATCAGAAAAACTATTGTACGTTCTAGTCACTGCTTAAGAGCAGATTAGTAATGTGAGGGATAAAGTATTGCAGAACTTAGAATCAAAAACCATGTTTTTTTCTTATGATCTGAAGTATGATTTTATTGGGATCTTAGTATCAGAGGCTAATATAAATAGAAAAACATTAGCAGAAATGAAATTTGATTTGTTTGTGGGCTCAGTATGCTGATTGTTTGATAAAAATGAATTCTTGGTTATGCAAGTATCAATTATGCTAGTCTTAACTCGATTTGATGAACTCTCTTTTATCTTTTCAATCTATCAATAGTTATTACAAAATAAGATTTGCAAAGCCAAATCCCATCTAATCAACCTTGCTTATATGCCTAAGAATTCTCGAACGATTCTTCCACAAATCCCTCCTCTCGCTTGCAACTAATCTACCTTGACATTTTTTCTTGATGAAGCTGACTTTGTATAGATCTCGTGGATTTACTTTTGATAAAAGTGGGAAGAGAGTTATTCAATTCAATGTATTCTTGGAATAGGTAAAGAATTGTGTTGTGATACTTGAGGTTTGACTGGAATTCGAACTCAACATTTCACCACTTTAAATCTACTGGTGTAGTCTATGTTAGAGATAAACAAAATATAAAACACTGAAAAATTAAAAATCAATGAATAGTAGTAGTAGAAGATAAGTTATCATTTGTCATGTTGTCTAATTAATCCAGTTGTTTCAACATGATAATTTCACATGACTATACTTGTAGGTGTTGACCACATGTTGTTGACAAATGGAGCCCTGTATAAAGATGATAGTTTTCAGAGCCCCTATTGTCAGTGCAATAGGACTTAAGTGATGGTTTGGTATCATCGGTAGCACTAGTATTGGAGATGGGCGACTGGAAGGTTGGAGGTGGTGATTGGGGATTGATGTGATCATAATGGGAGGAGGATTTGACTCTTTGCTATTGGAGTGGAGTGCTGGTGGTGACCGTGGAGGACTGGACAGGGTTGATTTTGGAGGTTGTGAAGTTGTTATAACTGATCAATGAAGAAGATGAAAAGGATTATATGAGATTGCAAGAAACAATTGTAACTAAATCAGATTTGGTTAACTTTTTGGTGAAGACCGTAATGGATACATATGGACTACTCGTGTGAGTTAGTTGCAAGTATGTTGAATTTGTTGACAAGATAATGATAGGATTCTATTTGGAAAATATAGAATAGAATATGAATAAGCTAAACTTTGATTGAAGCTAAAAAAAAAAAAAAAAAAAAAATGATTACAGAAAAGAAAGATAACAGGTAGCCGTTCGAGAGGACTACACTCTCCTTAGCCTCACTTCTCACTCAATATTTTTCCCTCTTACTAAACCTCTCTCCCCTCCTATTTATAGCTATTTCATAACTACTTTCCCCCCATTTTCCATGTAACAGAGTACTGTTATTCTCCATTCTTCTAGTTGCTTCTCAATCCTTCTTGTTTCTTTAAGAATGAGTGAGGTGGATGGGAGCTTATCAGATACAATTGAATTAAGGCTTAATATATAGGATTCCTACCTGAAGATTGAGAGTTAATTGTTCCAATGGTCACTGAACTTAGGTTCATGTCTTTGATTAGTCACTGAAGTTTAAAATATCGACTTTTGGTCACTGAACTTCATTCCATGTCTTTGACTGCTTACTGAACTTAGGTCCATGTCTTCGATTGCTCGTTGAAATTTAAAATGTCGAGTTTTGGCCACTGAACTTTGGAATATGCCATACGTTACTCACTAGCATAACTATTGAACTTTGAAAAATATCGAGTTTACAGTGAGTAATGTACAGCATTTTTCAACGTTCAGTGAGTAATATACAATATTTCTTAAAGTTCAGTGGTCAAAACTCAAAATTTTAAATTTCATTGAGCAATCGAAGACATGGACCGAAGTTTAGTGACCAAAACTCGATATTTTAAACTTGAGTAGCCAATCCAAAACATGAACCTAAATTCAGTCACCACTGGAACAATTAACTCAAAGATTGAATACGTTGCTGATGTAGACATGGCAACCCTACAAGTATTGTTCTTGGTACCACATAAAGAATGTTACTTTGAAACATACACCGGTAGCACCGTTCTATTTGGGACCTTGAAGTTGTGAATCATAGCGGTGTTCTTACAAATATAAATGTTTCTACTTTGTAACCTGATCATTTGTTTGTAACCCTATCATTTGTGATGAAACTTGTCGCTTTGCATTTTTTGCCTCACTGAATATATTACAGGATTTGATGTTGTAATATTGCTAGGTATAGAAAGTTGAGTCAGTTTATGACTTGAATTGGTTTTATTTTTTACATTCCTGTGTAAATTTTATCCTGATGTTTATATGTCCAGAAGGTCATGCTGCGACCCTACAAAAAATGAATGAAAAATACGATTTTATTAGCAGGTGGCTATCCTAAATTGTAAACTGATACGAAATTGGATTAAAACCAATGCTACATTTCATATAAAATGACTAATCGGCTTTAACATTCCTTAATGTAACTTCAGTTACCAAAATTTCTATGTAAATTGTGAAATAAATGGTAAATTGGAATATATGAAATTTAGGGGTTCTATTTCGCAATTATCAGCAAGATTGCGTGATCCCACTTTTCATTTAATTTTAATTGATATAGCTTCCTTCGAGCTCAACTACCCCTTGGACGACGCCTAAATGATTGTCATCGTCTACATAACCAGCCCCAACATCGTATCCATTCGTTGCTCCTCCACCGAGATATTCATCTTCTATGTTGACTTGCTCCTTGGTCCGGTTCCCGTCACGGCAGGCTCCCAGGCACCCTGGTCTCGCAGGCTGCTCCATCTCCCAGTGAGGCTGAGCGGACTCTAGCTTGTCCACCATGCCATGAGGTTCTTAGCTGATATGGCAAGACAGGAAATTGCGTTGGAAATGTTTTTGCATATTGAAGTAGTTGCCAAGGTTTCGTGGTGGAATCATAAGTTCAGAATCAAATGGATAGTCATGTCAGTGTGGATTCCTTAATTCTTGATGGGGTATTCATTAGGAAAATCAATCTGAATTGGATCGTTTAGTTGCTTCATGAAAAGAAATAATTTTCAAACTGTGCTTAAAGTAGGGGAATGAACTAAGATGAAGAAAGACTTAGGGTTTGGTAGAATGGTTCGTACAGGAAGCAATTTGTGGATATGTATTTGGTGTAATTTCCTCTATGGTTGTTTTTGATGTGAATTGGATGAAGCGCAAATAGTTAAATACTAAGCCAATTGTTACACTTAAGGTTTGTTGATGTCCAAATATAGTACATAAAACTAGGCCACTGTTACATTAAATTGTCACCCAATCACAACTTTTCTCTCATCACAAATGAACAACTAAAGTCTCCAACAAATCTACTCCCTATTGAAATCTGCACCCTTGTAATTTAGCTGCAATGCATAAGATAATCAATTGGTGTAATTATTCACCACCATACCCTTCCATTCATTCAAATTCATCACTCTCTCTATCCATAAAGAAATGTGTGTATAAAAGGATTTACATAGACAACAATGATATTTACCACCACCTTTAGTACCTTCATCACCACTTATACCTCTATCGCCATCTTCTTTGCCACCTCTGGTGGCAGCCTCATTGCTGCCTGTGGTGTCTCCACCTCCACCAGCTTCTCCTTCACTAATATCTCCTCCGCCCTCCTCTCCTCAATCAACCTCTCCTCTCCCAACATTTTCCACCTCCTCCACCATCATCTCCATCACCACTACCACTGGTGGCGGAAGTAGATATTTTGAGTTAAAGGGGCAGAATAAAAGTAGTAAAACAGTCGCGAAAAAAAATAAAGTATTTGATAACTTATTGCAAATGTTCTCTACGAGATCCCATACTTTGATAACGTTCCATAATTAAATCATTTTCAATATTGTCAAATACATCCTTTTCATTATATGCAATCAAACTATCATTTAACTATTGATCTCTTATTCGATTATACAGATGATTTTTGACATAAGTCATCGCAAAAAATGCTCATTCAACTATAGTTGTAGCCACTGGAAGAACTAAAGCTAATGTCACGAGCTTGTAAACTAATGTATACACTTTATGTTTTATTTTTCACAACCAATTTTTGAGCAAGATCACTAAGGCTTTGTAATCCTCCAAAATATTCACCAGTTTGCATATCAAGAATATATGTATCTACTAAATAATACTCACATAGTCGAAAAACTCTGTGCTTATCAAAAGCAACAAATGAATCATTTGGGCAACGTCTAATAAACGTTGCAAAGTAGTTGTAGCCACTGGAAGAACTAAAGCTAATGTCACGAGCTTGTAAACTAATGTATACACTTTATGTTTTATTTTTCACAACCAATTTTTGTGCAAGATCACTAAGGCTTTGTAACCCTCCAAAATATTCACCAGTTTGCATATCAAGAATATATGTATCTAAATGATCAACAAGTTTTGAGATATCTGCTGTGTCAAAATCTACTAGATAATACTCACATAGTCGAAAAACTCTGTGCTTATCAAAAGCAACAAATGAATCATTTGGGCAACGTCTAATAAACGTTGCAAAAAGAGTAACTTTCTGCAACACTCAATAAACCTTGTGAAAATGTGACATTAGCAACATACATTTAGAAAATGTTGCCAAACCTCAACTATATATACCAATGGAAACATTGACTTGTTAGAATGGTGTGATAGGCACTTCTAGCAACATTCAAATAACAAATGTTGCCTTTTATATGTTGCAAAAGGCCATTTTTGTTGTAGTGCATGTCTGACCATTGCCTTGAAAGATTTAAGATTGAGATTGGCTCCTTAAATTTGTGTCAACAATCCTTGAAGGAAGAGATAATGGTTCTCCATGAGCGATTGATAAGGTACACCGAATACATGATCATGGTCTCATCCAACCAAATTTAGGAAAAATCTTTCCTAAATATGGGTGGTGGACATGATGAGTCTGTATAACATAATCAAAATAAGGGAAAGGAAGTTATTGGAAGTAGTGGGTCTATTGTGCCAAAATTAACAAAATTGGATTTTCCTCATTATAATGGGATGGAGGATCCAACTGGATGGATATGTAGAGCGTAACAATTTTTTTAATTCCAACATACCAATGAGGAAGATAAGATGTCAATAGTCGGTTACCACTTGGAAGGTGACGTTTGACTTTGGTACCAAAGATTTCGACAAGGATATGGAGCTGATTAGGAGTGTTAAAATTAGAGCTACATTAATGCGTGGTATGGGCCATCTCGATTTCAAAATTTCTTTGTTGATTTCAATAAACTCAAATAGCAAGTGTATATGACTATCAACTAGAATCTAATCGATTATTACACAGGGCTGGAAACTTTACGGATGAGCAACAGGTGGGATGATCTGTAAGATGATTGAAGGAGGCAATAAAGGCTGATGTGCAAGCTGTTCGACCTGTAACTCTATCAGGGGCAATTGGTTTGGCTAGTCTCTGTGAGTCAAAGATTCAAGACCTGAAAAAAGGGTGCAAGAATATAAAAAGTTTCTTTCCTTCTCAACTCTCCCAACACTGCCATTCCCTAGCATTCCAAAGATCGAAATCCCATTATTGAAAGGCTTAGTCCCGCTGAACTCAAAGATAGGCCGGAACGTGGCTTTTGTTTCAATTGTGTGATGAAAAGTTTTCTCCTGGCCATCTGTGTAAAACTTATTTTTGAATAAATGGATTTTTCCAGCAGCCGAAGAGGATGAGAATGAGGTGGCTCAAGCCAAGGAATTTTTGGAAATAAGCTTTTATGTAATTACTGGAGTGGTAATACCTCATACTATTAGATGAAAATGACAGATGTGGTACATAGCAATTACTATTTTGGTAGATTCTGGGAGTACCTGTAATCTTTAAACTCTAATCTTACCACATCTATGGGTATCCAGCCATCAAATTGGATAAATGGGCAACGCGTTTAAAGAGAAAAATGAGGAAGGCAAACGTGCTTACCTCTTGCAATTAAATGCGATCCAACTGGGAGTGGATCAATCCAAAGAAGGGGCAAACCGAGCCTAATCTTCTATCCTTGCTTAGTCAATATTCTACTATTTTTATTGGATGAAAAGCATGATGGTTCGTGGAGACTTTGTATTTATTACCGAGCTTTGAACGACATTACAATCTAGGATAAATTTCATATACCCGTAATAGATTAATTATTGGGAGGATTATATGGGGCCAAATTTTTTTCAAAGTTAGATTTGAGATTGGGTTACCACATTGGTGGAGAAGACAGCATTCCACACTCACAAAGGCCACTATGAATTTCAAGTCATGCAATTTGGCCCTATGAATGCTCCCGCTATATTTCAATCAGCTGTGAATGAGGTATTTAAAGTTTATCTTAAAAAATTTGTTTTTGTCTTTTTTGATGATATCCTTTTTTATAGTCACACATGTGAGGAACATCTAGATCACGTAAACCAGGTCCTGCACCAATTATGGACTCATGATTTTTTTGTCAAGAAAGAAGTGTCAATTTAGGTAAAAAGTAGTCAATTATTTGGGTCATGTCATTTCTTATGGAGTATCTATAGTCTGTAGACAAAAAAAAAAAAAAAAAAAATTTCCTCCATGGTTTCATGGCCTAAATCTACTACCTTAAAGGGACTGAGGGAACGGGTTACTACAGGAAGTTCATCAAGGGGCACGCAGAGAGAGCTCAACCATTGCCTCAAATGCTTAAAAAGAAAGCTTTTCATTGGAATCTACAAGCCTAGAAGGCTTTTGAGGACCTCAAAGCAGCCATGGTTTCGGGACCTGTACTTGTTATGCCAAATTTCTCTCAACCATTTTGTGATGGAATGACGCCTCTGATATTTGATTACGAGCAGTATTGATGCATAGAGGTAAGCCCATTGCTTTTCAGAGTTAGGCATTGCATGGAAAGAATTCTGCATTGTCAACATAAGAAAATGAGTTATTAGCTTTCATTTGTGCGGTTCAAAACTGGCGTCCTTATCTTTTGGGTGCTAAAATTATTGGGCACATGGATCAGAAGAGCTTGCAGTACTTACTAGGCCAAACCATTACCACTACTGCTCAACAAAAGTAGTTGGTTAAGCTTATGGAAACGATTTCAAAATTGAGTATGTTCATGAAAATTTCGCAAACGTACAGAATCGTTGACAAGTAATAAATGTAGTTAGTTGAGATTATCATTCCACAGAGAATAAATTCAATCCAAGTTTACTAGTTTTGTATAAATTCAAACTATGTAAATAAAAGAGATTTTTTTATTTTGATTATGATAAATTAATCTAAGAATATAAGAAACTTATGTTTATATTAATGAATGGATGTTTGTATTAGATTTAGAATCGCTTTTTTGCTATGTATTTCAATTCATTTTATTCTTAGTATGAATTTGAATGACTCAAAATGCCAAAAATAAATAAATAAAAAAAATAAAAAAAATTAGATTATCAATATGATTGCGCAGGCTATATTGTTATATATTCCTAACATCTATTAATAGCAATTAAATATAATAATGGGAATGTAAAATTAATCAAGAAACATAAGAAATATTAAATTATTAGTCTTGAACTAAAATGAGTAAACAATAGGATTCATCTCCATCCAATACAAAAACAGATTTAGCCTAGCATGATTTTATATAGAATTCAAGGCGAATAATAGAAGAATATCATCCGGATCATAAAATAATGCAAATATTATTGATTTCCAAGTCCAATGTTGAATTCTTCAATTTCTTGATGTAATTGGCATTTAATTCTTGCTATGGTTTGATCTTCTATCTCAAAGTGATGAATTTGCCTCTTGTTCTTGATGAATTTGATGATATAAATATGTAGTTAAAGGCTTGAGAGTTCCCTAATGTGTTGCCCACGTTTTGTATTTATAGGAGCCACAAATCAAGTCAAAATTGTATCCAAAATTCATTCCAAGAAGAATATGAAGTAAAATAGGAAACTGCAATGAAACCCATAGAAAATGTCTGCGTGCCCACACCATATAACTAACCGCACTCACAACGGCTATTAAAATTGCTCTCGGTTGATTTTTTAACAAGTTGACATGGCCGTGCAAGATTACTCCTCATGCCAACGCCAGTTCAAAAGATTCGTCCGTATATAATATTTTTATCATAACTCTCTCCTGATAATTGATTGAGGTGATTCAAAATGCGATGAAAAACAAACTTAAATGATTCAATTCTTCTTGAATATTATTATTATTATTTTTTTTTTTTTCAATTCGAATATTTGTTATGTCAAAAATATGTCTCAAAACGAGATTAAATATTTGAAGCAAAACTTTTTATGTTGAAATTGATTTGTGAAAATATTTTCACTATATTTCCCTCCTTTAACCTCAAATTGCAACCAATTTCCTATGGAGTGAATTGTCCAAATGGTCACTGAACTTTAAAAATCACCTAAATGGTCACTGAATTTTAAAAATCATCTAAATGGTCACTAAGCTTTGCAAAAGGTTTCTCAGGGGTCACTGAATTCAGTGATCTCGTGGTAACCTTTTACAAAG